AAATCCGAGGACAGGCCTTTGGAAGAAGCGACAAACGGCGGATCTGACTCCCCCCAGTTTCCTCCATTTTCTTCTTCTTCTCAAGCCATAAGACAAAACACCCCTCCTTATGCACAGTGACAAGAAACGGCGCTCCTTCAATGGAATTTTGAGATCCATCTCATCTTCTTCATTTGAGAGGGTTAATAAAAACAAACTTGAGAAAAAGCAGCTGCTCGCACCAAAATCCTCTGAACCAAGCTCCCATTTTCTTCCTTAAACCACCAGCAAAAGGCCAACCATGGACAGCAGCTGAACCACCTCCAAAACACCATTAGAGCACCTTTAAAGCCACCTTATTAAGCTCCAAAACACTGCTCTCAAACCACCCCAAATCAGCCCATGTTTTCTGCTCAAAATAACGCAGCAAAAACAGCTCTCAAACAAGCCAATAACCAGCTGAAATCCAGCTCTAAAACACCCAAAAAATATCAGCCAAAACGCAGCTAAAATAGGTCCCAAATCCAGCTACATCGCACCACCAAAACCCGCGCCACATCAACTTTAAAACAGTCCCGAACACTGCTGCATTTCTGCTTTAGAAAGTGTTAAATCGATGGAACAGTCGAAACAAAACTCTTGCATTTGAAGATTAAATTTCAGATTTAAAATTTCTCTTAGTTTGGGTGTCGATGTTTGGGTTCGATAGAAGTGTTGTTGCTCGTTGATTTCCCCTGCTGCTGTTCCGGAATTGTTGAACCTCGCCAATTAGGAGTTCTAGGCTTGTATTTGGTTCTTGAGCTACTGTTGTCTCCTTGCTTAGGTATGTAAATCATAACCTTTCTTTTGAAATATGATTGTAATTTTGTTGTATTCTTGCCGGATTTCCTAGTGATGCAGAGGTGTTTGCTTAAACTTCAATTTCTATGTTATTTTGTTTAGCTCTTGGTTGATATGTAATGTTAAACATTTCATTAGATTTTCAAATTGGTGTAAGTTATGGACAGGTTTGAAATTCTACTTGATATTCTGGTGAATTTGTGAAGGTTAAATACATCGACGATGTGAAAGTTGTTTAGCTAAAAATGCAGTCTCTGTTTCGATTATGTGAATATGCAGGTTTATTCTATTTACTTAAAGGCTTAGATGCTCTGTCACGCTGAAATCTGCAATAATTGTTCCCTTATTTCTCTGAAAAGTTCATCACTGTTAAGTGCAAGTTTGAATTAATGTTGGACTATTTTGATGCATAGAGTTAGAATAAATCTGTGTACAAGGGTTGTTTTTTGATAATCATTGTTAGATTTTCATTAAGAATACTATAGGTCTATTGCTCAAGTGTTTTTGAAGAACCTGGAGGTGCTGTTCAATTGAAATAGGTTCCAAAATTAAAAAATCTCTTTTTAAATGAAAATTGGAAACATCAGTATCAAGTCACGAGTTTAATTAGTGTTTGAATGGATTCGAAATTTAAGGGAAGCATGAATGTGTTTGTTCGTATGAATATTGGTTTCAGCTAGCCTACAATATCGTTACCCATGCTTGTGGTAAAAGTATATAGGTAGTTGGTAATTGTATGTTTTCAAATTCTGTTGAAGATCAACAGTCCTGTCCTTATTTGCTTTTGATTTGGACTTGTCTATGAGCATGTAACTTGTTTGGGGCATGGCAAATTGAAATAAGACTTGTTGCCTACTTTATTCCTTAAATCCCTAAACCAATTATAATGGCTTGGTCACAAATGAGTTTCTGATGAACACCTGGCCTACAATAATCTTAAACTAGTCTTAGGAAAATAATGAACATCCGTAGTTTGCTTTAGTTTTATACAATTTTTGAAATAAATTAAGGTGTGACATCCACAATTGAATCACTTAATCTATGGCCCTCGCATTAATATTATAACTAGTGTAGAAAATACTTTGATCACTCGTAGTGTGCTTTAGGCGCGTAAATAAATCATCGTGGCTATGGGTACGGTTCCCGTAGCATGGTCACGATACTTAATCCCCAATTCGGGTGTGCATTTCATGTGACCCGACCACAACTTCGAACAATAATAATAAAATAAACATGTAGCAAATCGCGGGTGTATTTCATGTAGTGCGGTTTGCGGTGTGTTCCAAAACGGCAAGTGTACGACAATCGTAACTTGTTCAAGAAATAATTTATAAATCCCAAAAGAGGTTTTAAAAATAATTAAAAGCGGTTATGAAGTTTCAAAAATGCACAATAGGTTTAAAACATGTAATAAATCAGATAATAAGCCAATTATTAATAGTTTAAGCGACTGTGCTAGAACCACAGAACCCGGAAATGCCCAACACCTTCTCCCGGGTTAACAGAATTCCTTATCTAAAATTTCTAGTTTTGTAGATTTTTAACTAAAGTCAAATTTCCTCGATTTGGGATTTGAAATAAATCGGTGACTTGGGACACCAAATAAATTATCTCAAGTGGTGACTCTGAAAATTAAGTAAAATAATCCCATTTCGAATAATGTCACTTTAATTGAAAAAACTCCCTTATATCCCCTCGGTGGTAAAAAAGGAGGTGTGACAGGTATGTCGGGGCCCTGTTCCGGCAATGTTGCAGCACCTATTCTCCTTTAGAGGCTCATAGATATGTGTCGACTCATGTATAGTTTCGTATGCCTTGTCGGCTAATTTTTGTTGTATAGTCTTTCATGACAGCGTGGTAGCTCGTACCTTATATATAGTTTCTTGACTATCTGGTCATCCCATGTTATATATGTTCATGCCATTATCTTTCATTATTGTTTGTTCATGATCCATGTCTACCATTTATATTGATCCCATCGGCCCTTAAAGATAAGAAGAAAGGTTAGATAAAATGTATGTTGGTGCTCGGCAAGTGTGGTCGGGTGCTAGTCATGACCCTCTAGTTTGGGTCGTGATAGATCGCTCTCGTTGTTGTGACCGAATCTGCTCCCCCCGGCCCCATTGAAGCCGACCTTGCCCCTCGGAGTTTTGTTGTCGACCCTCTACGTTGTTTGATTTGCGGGAGCACTGGGAGGAGCTGGACCCCGTCCATTTGCGTTATTGGAAGTACCCGATAACGCCTAATTTAGCTCTATAATAACCTTATCCAGGCGTGTGAGATGGCCTAAAATGGCCTCTTGTTACTCCTGCAAGACCCTTATTGCTTTGATGACATTCCCTTCTTTAGCATCATTGGGAGTTGTCCCTCGAACATGTCGTGGGTACCGCCTTCTGTGGACCGGTGTTGCCTCGTTCCCCTCACTAGAGGTATCACTGATTGAATCCTCCTGTTGAGGCTGATTTCTTTGGGCCTCAAGGTTGTATGTGTTGTTAACACCATTATCTACAATTTGCTATGATTTTTTGCTAAGAAAAATAAACAAACACATTAGTAAAAGAGGTAAGGACCAACTTAATTACACAACTGTCTAAGTCCTATGGCGGGCACCAAACTGTTTACCCGTAAAACGATACAGATGAATTCATACGTGGTTTATAGACAAGTGAATTAATTTGATCCTAAAATAATAGATGAATTAGAAAAAATTATGATACATAGCCTTGGGATGAAGATAAAATAGCATAAATAATAATTTCGAGAATAGGGTTTCAGGGGACAATAGCAACAATATCAGTAAACAAGAAGATTAAATTATATTGAGCTTTCAATAGAGTGCAGCGTATGTTTGTCAAAAAATTTGTCTCTTTACAATGATAATAGAGTTTGCTATTTATAGTTGCACTTAGGGAACAAGGTTCTAGGATCAAGTCCCTCTTTAATGTCAATTATGAGGGCCATTGATGAATGTGTAGCAACAGGCAGTGAATATCATATTCCTTGTAACGGGCCGTGTACTTAATGCTGTAGAATATCTTCATTAAATGCTACCAGGTGGTAGGCATTTATTTAATCTTTATGTGTATCATCTATCTGGTAACAAACGGGATCGTTGCCTTCGAATTCAACTATCTTTTGTCTTCGGCTACATGTGTCATTTTCTCATGCGATAATTTAATATAAATATATTTTACCCTATACATAAGTTTTTCAAGGATTCATGGAAGGTCTTAAAATCACGGACAACTGCAATATTTCTTATTTTCTAAGATCTGAAGGATAACTCATTTGTACCCAACTTGATCAATGCTTACTATGGACTAGCTTTTGGTTCAAGGCCAATGGCAGTGGCAGTGGAAACATCGATCCGCAGTCGTTGGCACGGCATGCTAGGCTATTCCACTATCACAATACAATTCCAAGATAGCATTAAAAAAAGAACATTCAATGATCTTTGCACTATTTAAGGTCCGTGTTAAGAGCAACTTCGTTTGTACTTTGTAGTGCTTAATATTAGGTTTAGAATTTTAATAATGATCAATAATCAAAAGAGACTTGACTAATGACATCTCACTTTGTGTACAGATTCGCAGCAATGCTGATGAATGGAAGGAAAGAAAATGCTATGAGGAAATCAGACGAAGCCAACGGCTATGTTCTTCGAACTCTGCATCAAACGAAAAGAGAATCAACTAATCAAAGAAGAAAGAAGAAAAGTCAATCAATCAGACTTGCTAAAGATTCTCAAGCATTTAAGAAATGAAAGAGACAATCAAGTATAGAGAGCAAATCAAAGGGAAATATGTGGAAGCTCAAATCAAGGATAATTGGAGGAACCAAATCTTCAAACTAAAAATGAATCTGGCCACACCTCTCAAGTTAGATTCATGAGGCTAACCTTGGGTCTCACACTTATAAATCTATGCCTCACAAGGAAAGACTTTCAGTCATTGCTGCTCTGCGATCCCAGAAAAGAGAAATCAGAAGACTCATCGAGCAATATAAAAGAAGAAGTAGAATGGCAAAGAAGATCACACAACTTGACATCTATTTCTACACCTTTCTAGTTCTTAGTACAAATATTGTATTCTTGAGTCTGTAAGTGTTGCAAAAGATAGGAAGAGTTAGAAAACAAAACAAGAGTTGTGTCAACACTAAAAAAAACATTGTTGTTGTAAATAGTTGGTGGTGAACATACTAAAACCATCACTGTTGTAAAGCCTTAGTCAAGATCTAAGAGAACCCTTGTGACCTAAGGGAACTAGATGTAGGTACCACATCGGTACAAAACTAGTATAAAAATTGTTGTGCCTCCTTTACTTTTCTATCTACAAAATTTAATTTTGCTGCGATTAATCTCATAGTGAAGTTTAGTCGACTGATTCCTCTCTTAGTCAATTAAGTTTAAAAGTCGGTTATAATTTACCTCCCCCCCCACCCCATGTTATGTCAATTGGTATCAAAGCAAGGACTCGCAAATATTGCTTAACAACAAGTGAGAAATATATCATGACATCAAACACAGCCGTTGGAGCACTATTTCAAGAAGGGACTTCTCACGTACGACCTCATTACTTCAATGGCTAGCACTTCTCACACTGGAAAGTGTGTATAGAAACCTACACCATGTAAAATGATATTAAGGTATGGTGTGTGATTGATCGAGGCCAACCCTGCACTACTATTGAGTAGCGAGAGAGATCAATGCAGCTTTTACCCAATTAAGGTCGGGAATGATTTCCACAGGGAGCTAGATATTGGAGTTGGGTGTCTATCTAAAGCGGAGTTGTGTATTTGCTTTTAATTGCATTTCTAAACATTTTGGGTTTTGATTTACTTGTACTTTTATAAATCTACAATGCTTAATTAAACTAAAATAAGCTAAGGTTAAGCTATTGCGAGTTGTTCAAATGGGTAGAAGACACTAGGGTAGTGACTTTCGTTTAGGTGGTCAATTGACGGATACTTGAGTCTAAGGCATGATTGACACATTTGGGGAGTATGATATGATCGTTGCACGATTCTACCCACTCTATACCTCTCGGTGGTTTGAGTGATTCTGCCCGAATTGACTTTCTCAAGACCAATTGGGTATGCACATTTGCACAAGCAATCAAGGTTCAAGTCGGGTATTACTATCTCTAGATTTAACCCTTTAATTGGGGCTATCAATCTCTTGAGTACGTCCCAATTCCTTGTTGGACCAATTTCAGAGACTTAGATTCTCTTTCTCAAGAAGAGCCAAAGTCAACTAAACACAAATTAGTGCTTGCAACCACTAATTCAGCAATTAAACATGAAATTAGTCCAAATATCAAATACCACAGACAATCAAACATCAAAACACAAGACCCATCAATTACCCATACTAGGGTTGAGCCACAACCCTAGCTTATGGGTCTAGCTACTCATAATTAGAGAAGAAAACAAAGAAATAGATGAAGAAAAACTCATATTAATTAATTGCTAAGATAAACTAAAAGGTTCAATGTTGAAATGAAGCAAAAATTGCCCAAAATAGCTAAAGGAACGGAAGTCACGAGCGTAGCTCAGTACAAAACTGTCTGATGACCTAAAAATAGGAAAAGAAGCTATTTATACCAAGCTGAAAAATCTGGACAAAAATATCCCTACGGGGCTAGTGCGGACAGCACAAAATCACGTCCGACCACACTAAGGCTATGAACTTAAATAAACGGCTCTCTGAACTCGGGCAATGCGGACCGCATAGAATCGAGTGCGGCCGCGGTGGCTTCTAGTGCAGTCCGCATGAAATGGAGCGCGGACCACATTGTGCTTCAAATTTGGAACTGGCACTTCTATAAACTCTGGCTTTGCGGACCGTAATAAATCGAGTGCGGTCATGATAAACTCAATGCGGACCGCACAAAAACCCATGCGGCCGCAATGCCTGTTGGCCTGGAAATGCACACTCTCTGAACATCACTTGTGTGAACCGCACAGAATGGTGTGCGGCCGCACTGGTCTTGTTTTGCCTAAACTTTGTCTTGTCTTGGTACTTGTGCAAGTTTCACTCCTTTTTGAGCTGATCTTTCACATCTTGTCACCTTGTTGATCAAACATGCAATCAAGCACAACTTGTGAGCTTTTGGGACTATTTTGTACACATTTCTAATCAAAACTTAAGCAAGAAGGAGTATAAAATGTATCAAAATCCCTTGTTATCAATTCCCCAAACTTAAGCTTTTGATTATCCTCAAGCAAACAAAATAAGACACCCCTTAAGAGAACATCCAAGAAAATTTAGTTGTCCTAAAGTGACCTCATCTAGCATCGATTGGGACTAACAGTTGCCCTCAATACAAATGAATCATTAACAACATTTACTCTTTTAAACACCATGGATTAAGTGCGACACAAGAGCATCAAGAGTTGACTCAACATATCAAATAACCCTTTCTATTACTTTGGTCATTGTGGAACCCAAACTCACACATGCTTAGCTCTGCCTAAGCAAATCTCACCTTTAGAATAGTGGCACTCAGAACGAGGTTAATGGAAAATCACTCATCTCTCTCAAGGAAGAGTCACAAGTCCGGTTATAAGTACCATATGCTTGCCCCTTATATGAGTCACCACTAATGTAAGTTTCATTCAACTAGAGATCATATAGGGCTTTTGTGGAGAAATAGTGAAGGGTTTTGGTTTTGGGTAGGCAATGTTTGGTCTAAGTAAATTCCATCTTCCCTTAAGCACTTCTTTTGTTTCAATTTGGCACACATTCACTTGACTTTTTGAGTTTTTTCACTTCTTTCTAAGGGGTTGGAGAGACACACTGTACCTCTTTCTTATACATTTCAAATCTTTTCTCCTTTCTCAACTTTCCAACCCTTTCATTCTTTGATTTTCTTGAATCCTTTTTTATTCTCTTACACATTGAACATTCTTTTTGTCTTTTTGCTTTTCTTTCTTTTTTCACTGCTTTTTCCTTTTCTTCATTTTGCACCTTTTTACCACTTTGTTGCCATCCTAGTCTCTCCCCCCAAACTTATACTTTTGCCATGTGCTAAAGGAAATATCGGGTGCCAAGAGAGGATATCTTTTAGAACGGGTAAAGGCTTGTATCATGGTTCTTTGAAGGAAAAAAGTCTAAGGCTCAAAAGGGTTGACTAGTGATCTTATCATTGGTAGGTTATGGAAGTTTTCAAGCTATCATTTGGACCAAGGAGAGCCTATAATCATGTTTCAAGTCAAAATTCACTTAGGATTTTGCCTCAACAAACATTTAGGGCAAGTTCTAGACCAATGGCTCGGGACTTGGACTTGCAATGCAATTTCTCACCACACAAGCTATGGGATCACTAAAGACATAGAGTCGGGGGCCCACAACGACCTTAGATAAGATTTGATCACACAATGATCCCCAAAAACCACTTGATGATTATCAGTCAACACAAGAGTCTTAAGGTCACGACTTTCACCATCCTAAACACAACAATTTGTTTTTGACCATGAGATCAAAGGTAAATGTGTTAGGCCCAAGTGAAGCTTTGCTTGAGGCACCCTTATCGCTAACTACTAAAAATAAAAAGAAAAACAGACTCTAACACTTAAGAATGTTGTCACGCCATCCATCATTAGGAAGACCCACCCGGTTCACACGAACTCCACCTTTGGAAAGAACCGTGGCATTAAGAAAACCAAAGGCTTATTGCAAACGTTCAAAACAAGAAGCTACGAACATAAATACGAATCTAAGAAAGAAAAATTGTGGAAAGTAAAATGAATATATACAAGAGGGGATTTAATCGAATATACAATAGAGGGGATGAATATGTACAATGTAACATAACTTTATATACAGATCCAAAGTGAAATAAAAGTACGAGAAATATAACGAAATGTTTAAAATTATATACAAACCAAAGATGAAAAATCAAGAAAGCATAAAAACTGTCAAATATATACAATAATCCAATAAATCAATGTAGGACCTACCCCCTCAAATGAATGCTGGCATTGTCCTCAATGCCAACTAAACCAAATAAGCACCAAAAATAAAAAGAGAAAAGGATATAGAGACTCCCTATGGACTGTCTGTCTGTATGGGATCTTGAATGGTCCCTGGGTCCTCAATATGCTTGGGAACCTCAGACTGGTTCCCAATGGCCCGCTGTTCTGCGGCTGGGACCTGGGCCAGGAACTGGACATGCTCCTAGGCTGCATCTTGTGGCTGACTGGAGGAGGTCTCCGGTGGGTCTGCCAACTGGATGACTGCATCATCTGCTTGGGGAATCATCCTCTTCCTCTTGGTAGGCCTCTAGGACTGCTCTGGCTGGGGGTGAGCTGCTGGCACAGGGTCCTATAACAATAAATCCAAAGGCAGATGATCTGCCTTCAACCTGTCAACCTCAACCCTCAACTCCTTTACAGACTCCTTGAAAGCCCGCGTCTTTCTCATCTTCTTGGCCTCCCCAGCAAGCTCCTTGAGAGCTTTTCCATGAGACTCCACAACATCCATAAGAACTTTCTGAGTGTCAAGGATTTTCTTATGGTTGTCCAGATTATCCTTGAAGGCGTCCTCAATAGACTGTGGGACTTGTGGAGGTGGAGGTGCCGACTGAGCTGCTACGGTAGTAGTGAGGACATACAACTTAGAGGAAGCTGTCTGCATCTAGTTGTTGATGCTGAAAAGGGTCTGGCTCAGGCGGTGTGCAATCACTGGGTGGGCTGGGGTAGAGGGTATCTCTGGAGTTGCTGAAGTGGATGGACTAGGGGGCATGTCCGTTGAGGTGGACGAAGGCTAAGTAGGAGCTACTACCACTACTGGCTCTTCAGATAGGCCAGTTGCAGCAGCGGATGTTCCCTTGTAGTTCTTGCTTTTAGGGTTGTCATCACCCTACATGCTGTACCATGATAACGGGGCCTTTGCTTTCACTTTTATATCAAATGGCCGCTTTTCTACCTTTAGGTCCGTGAAGTACATGGTTAAGAAGCCGGGGAAAGGGTAGTTTCTATCACATTCACTGCCTACCTATGCAATCACCTGAGACATCACCTTCCCGATGTTAATCGGGTACCCCGCCATGATTGATACTACCAATACTGCCCGATGAAGAGGGAGTGAGTTGTCATGAGTAGTGGGATCCAATCTGTTGCACACGAATGTTTCCTACCCCTTGGCCTCAAAATTCAAATTTCTTCTCAAAATTTTCCCTCCTGCATTCAACCAATCGGGGGTGGTACCTGGGATTGCCAGATACTGTGTCAACTAAGGACGGACTACCTCACCTAGTTCCATCTTCGCCAAATACAATGACTCATCCTCCTTATCAAAGCCCAAGTAGTCATTTATGGTTTTCCCATCGAACAACACTTTCACATTGTGCACCTTG